TCTTCCAAGAGACTTCTTCAGTCTGAGAGTTTCAGACTGTCAGACTGAAACTCTCAGACTGAAGAAGTCTCTTGGAAGAGAGACGAAACGTTTCATTAAAGAAGAACCCGTCCAGAGGACCTATACAATTTTTTTCCTTTTGATTTTTTACCTGGATTACTGAGATGCATCAGGACAAAGTGTGGTTCTGCTGCTGAGAGTGGTGTCTGATTTTAATTTTACACAGACCACATCCACCGCCTTATCAACAGGAATGCTCGTAAAGAGTGATGTGACATCAAAGGAGGCCATAGTTTCATCTGTCTCCATGATGACATCCCTCACCTTGTTTATAAAGTCCATGGTGTTCTRTATGTGATGATCTGAAATGCCAACTAATGGACCAAGTACTGATGCTAGATATTTGGAAACATTGTAAGTGACAGAGTTAATCATGCTAATAATAGGTCTTACAGGTACATCCTGTTTGTGTATTTTGGGTAAACCATACAGACTAGGAGTGGCCTCACCTGGGTACAGTGTATGGTACAGAATGCGGTTAATAGCCTTGTCCTGCTCTAATCTTTTCAGGCACTCTATCAACTTCTTCTTGTATCCACTTCCTGGATCTCTTTTCAGTGGCTCGTATGTGGTCTTGCCACTAAGGAGTGTCATAATCTTCTCAAGGTAGTCTTTCTGGTTCAAAATCACTGTGCACCTTCCTTTGTCTGCTGGGAGGAACATGATGTTCTTGTCCTTGTTGAGGGTGATGAGAGTGTCTCTTTCTTCTCTACTGATGTTGGAAGGTGGCGGTTTGGCATTGCTGAGACAGGCTGAAACTTTGTTCCTAAGTTGTTCTGCTTCAAATTCTGGAATCTTGTTGTTGCAAATGGCTGATTCTGTGGCTTTGATCATCTCAACCAGAGGAATTCTTCTTGGTGTGACCGCAAAGTTCAGTCCTCTGGACAGGATTTCAGTTTCTGGCTGGGTGAGTTCTCTGTCAGATAAATTCTTCACCCACTTCTCTGTCTCCCTGGCATTTGCTTGTGCTCCTGTGTGTTGTTCCACCTTCTGTGATTTGTTGGAATTACGAAGGGACTGTCAAGTTGCCAGTAAAGTGAACTTCTTTTGTTGTAGAGTCTTGGACTTGATATGCTGAGCTAAACCTGCGTTTTCTGTAAAATCCATAGCCTGTYGGAATGTGGTCTGATCTAGATGTTATGTTAATTCTTGTCGGATGCGTTCCTCTTTGGCTTCTATGGCTTCAGTGGTAAAGTTGGTCTGTCTTACTTGTTCGTTCAAAAGCTGGGTCTGTGCCCTCTGTAGGATCTTACTTGCCCTTTGTCCACCAAAATGAACATATGGCAAGGTTTAAGTTTAAGAAATAGAAAGAAAGGAGAATGGTAGTGCTAAAGTTTTTACTTATCAATGTACATGAGGAAACCCGAACTAACACTTTGGGTCTCAGCCAAMCCATCAGCCTGAACTCCAGTATACTAGTCAAAACATTCAGCTTTACCTGGAGCTGTGGACCGTCAGGTTCAGTGTTAGGAAGAATTCACCCAGGTTGGTAAGAAAGCCAGGTCAGGGGTCTCATTTATAAAGGATTGCGTGGAAACCATACTAAAAGTGAACGTATGGCCAAAAGGCGTACGCCAAAAAAAATTTCAGATTTATAAAACCGTACGTACGCACGTTTCTGCGCACCTTTCCTTGATAAATCACAGCCGCACGTCAGAGTTTGCACACGAGGTCCCACCTCAGGTTCTACCCTCTACACGCCCACACTCAACCATAAACAGTCAATGCAAAGTACCTCATGAATGTTAAGATGCATTTAAATCAGTCAACTGATCAATGCCAACAAAAGTGATTGGTTCAGACACGCTCCGTCGTGCGTCTGGAGGTTGACAGCTGCTGACAGCTGCTCACGTGAACAGAATGTGTGTAATTGACACAGATTTTCCCTCATTTTGCTTTAGAGTAATATAACGATTTTTATTAAAAAAAACTCAGCTTCAAATTAATTTTCCATCGGAGCCTGCAATAAACATTAAATTAAATGTCAGATAAAATTAGAAATAAGTCCACCGCTCTTCTCCTCGTCCTCTCCCCCTCCTGCCTGCTCTCTTATCCGCAGCAGACACCCCCGCCCCGCGCACACACACACACACACACACACACACATGCACACACACATCCCTCCGCGCGCGTGACAAATACAGACTTTAAATGTGAAGTTTTATAACAGCCACACTGGCGAGGTGGATGCGCCCTGCGCATGTATCCAAAACTTTTGCTGTCCTGCTGTTCTTATGGGGGAGGGGTCTGTGGGTCAGGGAGGGGTCTGTGGGTCAGGGTCGTCTGAGGTGGAAGTAGATGAATGGAGTTGCACACGGAAACTTTTATTTAAGATTTAAGTTTTTTTTATTTCAAAGGTTCTCATGGCTCAGCAGCAGAAGCATAAATATTACTAAGTTGATTATAAAGTTGAATAAAAATCTAAGTCTGATTCTGAAGGTAAATTAAATATCTGACAGTGGTCATGACACAGTGTGGCTTTAATTCCTAACTTCACCATCTGTGTCACAGTTTCACGTCTCCAAAATGAGCGTACGCATGGGTCAGATCCAGCGTGAGGCACCGCACATTTTCACGTCAAGTTTGGATTTTATAAATCACAACCTTGGCGTGAAAAGTGGCGTACGCAAGTTTCTGGGCTCATATTGTGCGTACGCCAGTTTTATAAATCCGACCCCTGGTCCTCAGGTCCTGAGTCTGCTCCAACACGCCTTCAAAGCATAATAAGGCCCAACAGCAGAAATGCATCCTTTCATATCAGAGTTTCAGACTTTGACTAACGAGTTCATTAAAGAAACTAGATTTGAATAACAAATATTTCAGTCAGTGTCAAACCTGTTACAGATGATCTATGACAGAGTTATAGAACTCACTTGTCCTGTCACGGACTTCATTTCATGTAAAAATAGAGTTTAAGTC